TGGTGGAAATGTCACTTGTCCAGAGTGAGAATAAATAAACCAAAGAGGTAGCACAGTCTGCCAGTTTTAACCCTGAATTTCCTCATATGACACCAATCAGCTCTTTCTCAGATACTGCGTTAGACTTCTGACTATCACCTGGATCCTGGAATGACTTCAAGGCATGCAGTCCCTGCTTGCAGATGGGAAATGGGAAATGCATAGTGTATATTGAAACCAATCCAGCCCTTTGAACTTGCAGGTTTTATGACCTTTTACAAACTCCTTCCAGGAACACAAAAATGGTGTTCACATTTGATCAGGCCCAAAACAGGGATTGTTTTGGGCTTGAACAGGACTGGAATCCTGATGGGACTGGAATCCCACTGAGGGTGGGGAGAAGGCAGAAACAAGGCAATTATACCTCCTGATTTGATGTTAAAGCAGTGACATTTTAAAGGCAACCAGGGTGGCAGTTGCCAGCCTGTTTTTATGAGCTGCTCTGAGATAGAAGCTCCACAGTGAAGGTCACTGTGCTGGAAGCAGAGATGTGAGCATTTTAGCATCTCTCTACTTTTGCTTTTTTGGGTATCTTTACATCCAATATTCTTTTCTGCCCCTCACCTATTTTCTACAGCAAATGCAGTTTGCAGAAGCCCCTCAGCCACAGCACACTAAGGTTCCAGGGGGGCACCCTGAGCCCCAGAGTGGGCTGGAACCCTCATGGGAGCTGTGAGGGACAGCACTGTCTGCTCCAGCCCTCCATGCCCACAGGGGTCACATGCAAAGGCATTCACTTTCTGTGACTGGAAGCAAAATTGGCTCCTGTGACTACAAAAACATGTCAGTCTAATGAGAAAAATGAGGAGGAAAAAAAGCCTGACAAAAATCTAAGAATAGAGTGTTGAACAGGGCTTATTTCTGCCAGAGGATTTAGGGGAGAGATGAATATTACTTAAATATGGTAGGAATGTCACATCAAGAATGTTACACCAGCTCAAAGTATGCCTCATCCCACATGCTTTGTGTGTGTAAATTTGGACGTCTTTGCAGCTTTCTCCTTTCCAAAGGTAATCTGCACTGCCCTAATTTCTGAGTGGATTAACTCCAAACAGGAGAGAAGGCTCCTCCAGCAGCCATTAAAAAGTATTTTGGTCATTCAAACAGAGGAGCTGCTAGTCATTTCAAAGCATTACAGCGAGAATTTACAGACATTCTCCAAAGTAATCAGCTACACAGTCCTGGGCCACTTAGGGGATTTCATGAGCTCCTGTAAAACAGAGTCCAACAGCATCAAAAGAGGTCTGCCACTACCTCTGATTTGGAAGTGGAATACTATGGAAATGCCACAGGATTTCTCCATAAAAACTCCCAACTTCAGTTTGCCCAGGTGTAAAATATTGTTACCTATCTGCCATACAGACAGCTGCAGCAAAAAAATAAGGTCATTAACTAGGCATGGCCTTTGCTTTAAGCACCTGAATAGTGTCCCTGATTTCTGAGAATTGCTGGATGATGCTGCAGAATCAGCACCTACAAAGTGAGCTTCTCCCTATGACATTCTGCCATTCATCACCTCTTTGGGGTAAGAGTGCAGGCAGGTGAGACCTTTGCTGTACAAGTCCCTTTTGCTAGCAGGGTTGAATCAATAAATGACTTCACATGCTGTTATGATCCTAAGAGCAGGATGATTTGCACAGAGTACTTGCTAGTGAGTGTAGAGCACCATATTCCCTCATTATAGTTTTAGCAGGAGAACATAAAAAGAGTCTTGGATTACTCTAACTTGAGACTGTGAAAACCACACTGTTGTGTTTCTTATTCCTTACTTTAATTGAACACCAAGATATCAGCACTTCAGTGTCAGCTGCTTCACATAAAATCAAACTTAGAGGGTAGTAAATACAGCAGAGCTGAAGGTTTAGTGTTATATATTGAGAGAACCATTCAAGATAGAATTGTCTTAACCAACACTACCACTACAATAACAACCTTAAATTTATTAAAATAGAACTAAGTTTAAATGCATTTGCCTTTCCTTTTCATTTTTATTACGTATTTTTTATCTCTAAGAACCCAAACTCACTTAACATAAACTGGGTATTTTCACCTTCCCAGCTGTTGTAAATTTTCACAATGTTGCAATCTCAGAAGAACTTTTTAAACATCAATTTTAATAAAAACTTGAGTAAAAGTGTTTAAAACATGATTTGTCACTAGCCATTTGATATAAAAATTACTTGTTTTGATCCTGCTTATCCAAGAGAAGCTTTCTAATCAATCCTTGTGCAGAGGGCACAAAGTTGTGGAATTGCCTCTCTAGCAGAAGATCAACTTAACCCATTCCTGGGATTTGGCTGGGAGACTTGTGCTGCTGAGCAGAGAGGCTGCTGGATTTGCTTTTTCAGGTGTGTTTGTCCTGACAGCCTTTCCCTGCCCTCTTCATGTCCTGTGAGTGCAGCACTGCCTGGGGACTCTGGCACAGTGACAATAAAACCCTGCAGTGAGAGGTGGCCACATGTGAAAAAAGGAATAATGCTGGATGAGGCACACTGAGCTTTTGGGTGAAAACACAGAGTGTCAGTAATTATTACACTATTTAATTAAACAGTGTTAACTAGTAATCACAATAAGTTTCTCTGACTGGTGGGGGCTAACTCCACCTGCCTGGGAAGTGGTGGGCCTGCCTGGGGCAGGATTTAGGCTCCCAGTAACCAACCTGGAGAAAGGCAAGTTGCTCTTCAGGCAAATTGTCACAGACCTGCCAGAGGACTGTCACAGGATTTAAGTCACGGTAAGATCAGTAGGAATGGCTGAAAATGCTCTGAAGAAAAATTTTCCACCAAGAAATATTGATTGGATGCAGTTTGGGTATTCTTCAGGACTGTGTGAATTTTACTGGAAGTTCCTGATGGAAGCCTTGCAAAGGTGGGTTTTGCTAGCAGGGAGCCAGCAGCTGGCAGGGTCCAGAGATCTCCACCAGAGATTTTACTGATGGGACAGGAAGGTAGCTGGGGAGCTAGAGACTAGATCAAAGCTGGTCTGATTTAGTTATTTAAAAAGAGGATGTTCCCAAAAATTTTGTTCCATAGAAATCTTCACGAATCCAGATAATACATCAGGTATCTTTTTTATGGCATAGAATGAAACCATTAAAAATATAAAGGAAATTTTCTGTGGATCTTAAAACATGTCCCAGGTCATCACAATGATTAAATAAAGTTGTGGCTGAACAAAATGGAGACTTTTAATGGAATTTCCAGGGGGGTGGAAGGGCAAGTATTTTAGGAGTGCATCTCAAATTTATTAAAATACAGCTCCCTCACATTAGTTACTGCAAATATCAAATTCTGCTTATTATTTATACTCACTGTAATGACTTTACTGATGACTTTCCACTCTTCTATTTTTTTAATTGGGGCATTAGCCTGAGAAACAGCTGATCCATGGAAAGGTTTTCTTGTTATGATGCTGCTATCTAAATCAATGGGAGTGGGTTTTGTTGGG